TTTATGGTATAAAATCTGAAACATGGCAGAGGGTCACCTTGTTGGATCTCAGCTGGGCACACACACATTGGGCAACTCAAACTTTGTGCAGCAAAATGACTGCAAAAGCACTGTTAGTACTGATTTGGGGTTACAGATAAACTGTAGGTAGTAGGTAAACTTGTAAACAGGAATTTACCAGTGTCATTGACTATATCTGTTTTAGAGATGGATATTGGTAGTGGCTGCACAACAATGCAAATGTACTTAACTGTACATATAAAAATGGCCTAGATGGTAAATTATGTTATGTATATTAAATAAACATAATTTAATAAAATTAAGAAAGTGCCGCAATTGTGTAATTAAGTGATTTTTAGTTTGTAGAAATTGGGTTTATGTGGGCTGTTTTTTCTTTTCCTGCACATTAACTATAAATACCCCACCTCCAGACTAGTGCTAAAATTACAACTGTATCTTTATGCTTCCAGTTATATCTGTGATTAGAATACCAAGGCTCTCTTTCACCCCCTGCTTGGTTGTTTCCAAATCTGCTACTATTAAGTTCCAGTTGAAGCAAATTGTTCTGAGTATTAACTCTTTTTTGTCAGTCACTATAGTTGTTCCGAATAAACATGTGGTTAATCATTGTCCCTTCCCCCACCAGGAAATTACTACTTGTTGAGCTTTAGCATAGTAGCAAAGAATATCTGCACTCATCTGAAAAGGGTATTAAGACACTCTTCCCTTTTCTAGTTACATGTGAGGCCAGATTTGCTTCATACCTTTCAACTAAAACAAAATACTGAAACAGTTTTAATGCAGAAGCAGATATGAAAATCCAGCTAACTTCTATTGAGGCAGATATTAAGAGATCTGCAAAAGATTAAAACAATGTCATTCTTCTCAGTAATTTGTTTTGGGAAAGAGTATTTTTCGTAAAAATGTTATTTATATTAACAAGTAATGGGTCTGTTCTTTAAATGAATTAATATACATTTTAAATTTTTTAGCATTAACTTCTAATACAGTAAGTATCAAAAGACGTAACCCGTATGAATAAGCTTTTGAGGAGCTCTCTACTTTAAAAGTTTAAAGAAGTTCTGAGACAAAAAGTTTCGAGACTATTGTTCTAACCAATGGAATTGCAGTGCCACTGAGACCTACAATTATGGTGACTGTGCAGCAACATGGACAATTGCTTAGGATGCAATTCTGAGGGGAAACCAGGTTACACATGCATGACCAAAAAATATGCTGAAAAAAACATACATATGAATATGGAGAATAGACAAAAATAAAAATGGTATTCAGAACATTGTGATGATGGCTTTTCTTTCTCTCCAGTCTCCGAAGTTTCTGAAAAGCTATTAACATAGTTTTCACACACACACAAAGTGACTAAAATACATAACCATTTATCTAAAGTCTTAAGAAGTTTATTTAGCACATCCCAGGATGAAGAACTACTGTTTTATCATTCTTAAAATCAACAACAAATATTTATTGAATATTTAGAGGCAGAGGATAAATGAGGTTCAAGATTTAATCTTTCCCCTTTCCTCTCATTCCAGTTAAATGTGAAGGACTGATGGGAAAGGCATCTAGCCAAAAAAGCACAAGTTCAGAAGACAACAGTGGGAAAGGTATTTCAATAATTTTCTGAAAGAAAGCAGAGCAGAGGAAACTAAAACCAGAAACAATGTGATCTGCTCAGGACAACTCAGAAAGAGCTCTGGAGGTTCAGCGAGCCACACGTGGAGGTCCTGGGGAACCAAAGGCAGCAGGGCTAATTACACGGTCAAAGTCTATATACATAATGTCTGCTGTTCCCCAACCTAACCAATAACCCCTGGTTCTTAAGAGGCTTAAGGTTCTTAGAAATTTATCCTGGAGATTGAGGTTCTGCACTCAGTGTCATCGGACCCAGCAGAGGACAGGAGAAAGGCATGGAGATGAAAGGTAGGGGAATTAGTGTCAGAGTGCCATGAAGGAGTGGAACTATCGGCTCCTCCCAGGCAGATTTTTATCTAGAGAAACTGAATGGTCCCAGAGAAGAGAGCTAAAGACACAGATATCCATAGTCCTCCAATAAAAGCACTGGAAAACTCCCAACAGGAAAAACTCTGTGGCCAAACAATCCGATGCATGCAAACCCAACTTCTGATCAGCTTCTTAGGTGCACTGTACCTTAAATACAAACGGACAATGAGAGATGACCAATTTCCAAAGGAAGTCTTTGTATGGAAGAGAGATACCAAGAAAAAAATTCAGAGAAAACAGAATATGCATGCAAATTTAAGGAAGACTGGAAGATAAAGACATCTCCTAGAAAGTGAAATAGAAACACAGCAATAAAAAACAGATTAAAAAAAAAATCAAGGCTCTTTTCAAGAATTCCAGTGGCTGATTAATAAAAACTACAGAATGAAGATTTTAATAAAATGAGACAATTCTGTAGAACTGTAAGACAGAAGTCCCCATTTTGAAAAGGGTCCAATGAGCACCAAGAACAGTGACTGAAGACCAAGTCCTGCCCACTGCACTGTGAAATTTGAATAATTCTGAACATAATAATAAGTGAGAAGACATAATATAGGTAGGTCATGGGGAAGGCAGTACAGCAGAGAAGTAATGACTTTATAGCACCTTACTATGCTCATGCACAGTGACTGCAGTGGGGCTGGGGGCGGGAGGACTTGATAACATGGGTGAATGCGGTAACCACAAAGACGCTCATGTGAAACCTTCATAAGATTGTATAGCAATGATATCTTAATAAGAAAAAAAAGAATAAGTGAGAAGCTAAAAAAAGCTAAAAAAAGCTTCTAGAAAGGGAAAAAAAGGTCACATACTTATGCCACATGCATTGTTACAGTCTCTGGAACTACCAATATCTGAAAACCCTTCAAGGTCTTTGAGTTTCCCACTTTCTAATCACAACCCTGCCAACCCCCAACTGTAGAACTCCAGTAACTATCTGAAGTTACCAGGACCTATATTAATCACTGATCCCACCACCTTCTTATGTCTGTCTTTGCCCTCAATATTTTTTTTATTGAAGTATGTAGTTGATATACAATATTATACTGGTTTCAAGTATATAGCCTAACGATTCAACAGTTAGCCACATTATTAAATGCTCAGCCCAACTAGTGTAGTTACTGTTAACATAGAATGATGTTACAGAATTATTGTATATTCTCTATCTTGTGCTTTTGTCCCCATGACTTATCTTATGATTTGAGATTTTTGTGTCTCTTTATCCCCTTCATCTATTTTACCCACCCATCCCAAACCCTCCCCCATGGTAGCCACCAGTCACTTCTCAGTGTCTATGAGTTGCTCCCTCAAGTTCTTACTTCTTAAATTTCTAGGCCTTCATTATAATCACTCCCTTGGGCATTCCAAATCAATGCCCTTGCTCCCATTTCACTACACATAGTGTGACAAAAATCCCAACCATACAGAAATGCTATGCTTCTACCAAGAAAACACCTCTAAAAGGGGAAACAAACAAGAGTAAAATGGCTTTGTTCAAAGTTGAAAAAAAAAAGGGAAAACAATTTAAACTAAGCTACTATGCTAGTCATATTCAAGCATTTCTGGAAAGAAAACTTACAAGATATAAGCATAGTAAGCCAGATTCCAGCCATATTAGTGAAGTAAAAAAGGGAGAGAGGGCCTGTCTGTCCCATTCCTCTTCTAACCCACCATCTGCCCACATAAAGAAACTAGCTAACTAACCACCTAGGACTGCTGGTTATGTTCCTTATTTCAAAAAGTACTGATGGAGAACAGCAAGGAAAACTCTACCCGTTCTTGATATTTACACATTTCAAAAACAGTCCATGCATCTCAACAGCACCAACCGGGGATTTGTCACTAAAACGAGATGAAATGTGAAGAGGCAAAATTTTAGTTATGATTTTTACTTTAAGACTTCAGTTAATGTAGAACAGCACCTCCCAATCTTCTCCAGGTTTCAGCACACACAGAAAATGAGAATATTAATTTGTGGAGCATGCTGTAGCACACAGAGGCTGCTTGCTGGCAGAATGCATGGCCCACGGTCCTGCTCCACCAGCTTCAGGATTCAATACCACAGCACATCCATAACACCTTCTTGGCACACATATCAGAAGGCTCTGATACAGGGAAAACACTTCTTCAAAAAGCTTCCTTCAGAAGTATCATTGTATTAATTCAATAAATATTTATTAAATACCTAATATGTGCCAAGCACTATGTGAAATACTGCCACCTGCCTTAAAGACTAGAGAGGGAAGTCAGGTGACAAGCTATTCTAATATAATGTAAAACACACTACCTAAGGGAAGTATCAGGATTTTTAAATATGAGTCCCAAGCCTGGGGAAAGGGAATAGGGAGTCTGCCAACACCTACTTCCCAGAAGTGATCTCTACACAGAAGGGTGAGGTGTATTTTCAGGTACAGCGAACAGCAGCACAAAAACCTAAATGCAATAAACTATGTCAAATAAGCAAAACAGGTTCTGTACCGCACAAGTACAAGAGAGGACTCAGTAGCTGCAACTCAGTAGTTCCAATGGATATATATTTTTTTGTTCTGCACTATTATTTATTTCTATTCCTGATAGTAAAAATATTACCTCTTACAAGAATGTTTTACATTAAATTTATTTGACAAAAAGTAATACATAACTATTTCTATTACCTGTTAGAGGAAATCAGGATATTGCAAATTTAAGAGGATGATAGGAATAAAAGGCGGAGACTGTTTTTTGATAGAATAAATCCACTACTGCTGTCTTTATAATCCAGCTAATGTCCAGCATCAAGCTAATACTCAATGGCAATGGACTTTAAGATTGGCTAATGGTCAATATTTTATATTATATAAAAGCACAATTTATAATAAACCATCTGTATATACCATAGAAAATAGGTAACAAGAAATTATAATGTTTATCTCACATATTCTTATTGGTCTTTTTATTGCTTTGAACATTAGCCAAATTCTCAAGTTAGTTCTGATGATGTGTTTTTGCCGGAAACACATATACTAAAATTGGAATGATATGGAGAAAGATTAGCATGGCCCCTCTACAAGGCATGTGAATTAATGAAACAGTCTTTGTATTTATCCTACTCATCTTTAAAGACCACATCAAATACTATCTCCTTTGATCTGTTCAGGTTGGATATTTCTGCCACTCTTTTGTGCTCCAATGTATTATTTATGTCAAGATTTTAGTCATTAGTATACATGTATATACTTCCTTTTTTTTTTGAGAGGGCATCTCTCATATTTATTGGTCAAATGGTTGTTAACAACAATAAAATTCTGTATAGGGTACTCAATGCACAATCATTAATCAACCCCAAGCCTAATTCTCAACAGTCTCCAATCTTCTGAAGCATAATGAACAAGTTCTTACATGGTGAACAAATTCTTACATAATGAATAAGTTCTTACATGGTGAACAGGGCAAGGGCAGTCTTATCACAGAAACTTTTGGTTTTGATCACGTATCATGAACTATAAACAATCAAGTCAGATATGATTATTCGTTTGATTTTTATACTTGATTTATATGTGAATCCCACATTTCTCCCTTATTATTATTATTATCATTTTTTTTTAAATAAAATGCTGAAGTGGTAGGTAGATGCAAGATAAAGGTAGAAAACATAATTTAGTGCTGTAAGAGGGCAAATGTAGATGATCAGGTCTGTGCCTATAGACTAAGTATTAATCTAAGCTAGACAAGGGCAACAAAACATCCACGGATGCAGAAGATTTCTCTCAAAACAGGGGGGGTGAGGTTCTAAGCCTCACCTCTGTTGATTCCCAATTTCTCACCTGATGGCCCCCCTGTGACTGTGCCTGCCAATGGATGTATTTTTATAAATACAAATGTGATTGAGCAGGAAGCCAATATCACAAAAGGTAGGAAAACATGTGCCTTCCTACACAACAACAGATGAAACATAAATTATGAGAAAAGTATTTGTCTATAAAAACAGACTACTGATTTGCAAGTACCATGAAGTACATGAAGTTCAAAACAATTTTTACTGTAGTGGTAGATGTTTTGGTATACATTTACTACTGAAAAAGTATGAAATGCTACCCATTTTTTAAGGTTTCATATGAGCAATACTGTGGTTACAACATTTCACCCATATTATCAAGTCCTCACTCTCCCAAACCCCATTGCAAGTAAGGCAAAAGATTATTCAAACCCTTGATATTTACAACATTTGAAAAAATGGGAAAGCAAAAGAACTCCTAAGTAATTTATATAATTTTATTGTTCTAAAAAAAAGACCTCAATTAGCTTACAAATAAGCCCAAATATGTATATTCTCTTCCTCCTTCTCTCATGTGGAACGAAACAGAGCAAGTGTCATAACAAATTAAGCATAATTCATATTTACCTCTCTGCCTGTAAGGATGTGTCTTGCCAATTTTACTTTTGCAAAATTCCCCTTGCCGATTGTTTTCAACAGTCTGTAGTTTCCAATGTGAGGTTGTTCATCTGCACAGGAAGCTATAGAGTTTCTACACCGAGCTCCAGAGCGCCCAGTGCGGGACGTAACTTCTTGTCGCCCATCTCCATGTGACGTGTGCTACAACACACACAAAGATAAGGAAATGAGAGAACACATAGTACTTGCCAAGTTTCAAGAGCTGCTAGTTGAAGAAACAAAACATTACTGCTTTAGTTTTCAATCTTAATGCATCTAGTAGTTCAAAGGAATTTGCCCACATGATAAAAATTTATGAGGAAAACAAGACAATGCTGAGAAGGAAAATACCAAGTGCTGAAGTGGGTGCTCAGAAAGAAATGACTTATTTTCTATATGTGTCTGTAATATAAAACAGGAGTTAAAAGAACTGCCTTACAGTCAAAAAGAACTTAACTTCTCCACATGCTATTTATTATTAAGTGCACCAGCACATCTGATCCTTACCACACCTGGTGAAGCCATCACAACAGCTAATATTACCATTTACCAGATAAAAATACTTTTGTGATTTACTCACAGTCACAGCACTACTTAGTGAGAAATCCAAGGAGAATCTGGGTTCCCCATTTCTTTCCACAGTATGCTGCTAACAGTAATTATAAACAATGTTTTAAAGAAAGAACCAGATTGTGTGACCCTTGATAAATGATCATTGAACAAATGAAGAAAGTACTCAATATGCTCCATAAAGGTGAAACAAATGATACACACCTCTAACCATATTAAATTCAAAGGCACTAGAGTTACAAATGCCTCGTGTACAGTTCTGTATGTACAGACATTCAGTTGCTTCCTCTTTCCCCACACATGCTCAAACGATACCATGCCCCACTGCCCACCTGTCACAGCACTACCTCTTGCTAAAGGCAGGCTTCTCTCTCAGAGCTCACACATACACTTGAAACCTCCTTCAACCTTTTCTCTTTCCTAAGTTTTTGTTCAGGAAGATGTCCCTTCTTTCTTCTTGCTCTCTACCTATAGGTCAAACAATTCTGATTCTATCCAAAAAACTACTTTGTAATACATTCATGTCAAGGAAAAAGGAAAAACAATTTAAAAGTGAAAGCTTGCCATCAAGCTCTGAAACCCTCAACAGATGTCCTTTTCAGAATTCCCACTTTTATCTCCATCTACTTTCTTATATTCCTCTACTTAAATATTTCTCTCCCACATACCAGATTTTAGGATGGGTCTCTTCTGTTTTATTCGCCAGTCACATAATACTGCATTGCAAACAACAATTTCTATGTTTCACTGTAAATATATGTTTAAGGAGGGAAGAAAAAAGATGGCAGTGTAAGAAGTGTGGTGGAAATATACTCCCAAAACCACACACATGTTGAAAATATAGCAAATACAACTATTCCTAAAAGAGTGACCAGAAGTAACAGTACACCAGCCAGTCTACATCTGGTAGAAGTCAACATCTCACGAAAAGGGGAAAGTAAAAAGCCGCAACCCGGCAGGATCTGAGCACTCCCCCCATCCCAGCTCATGGGCGGGAGGAAAAGAATGAGAGCAGGGAGGGAGTAGAAGCACAGGACTGCTAAATACCCAGCCGTTGAAATCTACCCCAGGAGCACAGATCCACATTGCATGGTGCTCTAGAGATTGGAGGGCCTTAAAAGCAAAGTCTGAGACTAAGACTGTGAACAGGTTCCCACAACTGGCTGCCCTGGGACAAAAGAAAAGCAGGCACTTAAAACTCTTTAAGTGGGGAAAGGGTTTAGGGGAAGAACAGGTGGACAAAATTGTCCTGGCACACGCAGCCCAGTAGGCTGTGAACTTTCAGGAGCTTCAGGCACCCTATCCCCCTGGTTGGCAATGCAGCCCTGAGGCCCCTCACTGTGATAAGCAGCCTGCTGCTCCTTCACCCACGCCAGCACCTGCAGGCAAACCGGCTATCCCTGCTATTGTTGCAGATCACCCGGAGGGCAGCCCTGCCGACAGCAACTACACAGCTTAACTCAGAGGCTTCTCCCTGTGCACAGCTAACCAGCCCAGACCCAGAGGCTACTTCCTGCGAGATGTTGACAGGCACAGACAGCTGAAATGGGTGCTGAGACTAGGAGGCAAAAAAGAGCTTTGTTTTCACAGCAGAACCTGCACTGCTCACCTCCAGCCCCCTGGGCCATGCCAAGGGCCACCCTGCCCATGGCAGCTTCGGGGATCAACCCAGAGGCTGCTCTGTGTGCAGAGTTAACCAGCACAGACAGCAGAGACAGGTGCTGAGTCCAGGAGGCACGAAAGGGCTTTGTTCTCGTGGAAGAACCTGTGCCGCTTGCCTGTGACCCCTGCCATCGCCCTAGGCCATCCTGAGGGTCGCCACACCCACAGCAGTTTATGGGATTAATGCAGAGGCTGCTCCCTGCATGTGGTTAACCGGCACAGACAATGGAGACAGGCGCTGAGACCGGAAGCCACGAAAGGGCTTTGTCCTCTCAGCAGACATAGGCGGCACTCGCCTGCGACTCCCGCCATCGACCTAGATCACCCCAAGGGTCGCCCTGCCCACAGCAGGTAGGGGATTAACACAGAGTCTGCTCCCTCTGGGCAGTTACCGGCACAGACAGCGGAGACAGGCACGGTCATTGGCAAGCAGGAAGGGACTTTGTCCTCCCAGGTGACACCCACGCCACTGGCCAGTGACCACTCCCATCACTACAGGACTATGAAAAGGCAGAAGAACCTTGTTCAATCCAAAATCTCTCAAACACCAGAAAGAGGGCTCAGTGAGACTGAAATCACCAATCTCCCTAAAAAAGAATTCAAAATAAAAGTCATAAGTATGCCGATGGAGCTACAGAAAAATATTCAAGAGCTAAGGGACGAATTCAGGAGGGAGATAATGGAAATGAAACAAATAATGGATGGATTTAAAAGCAGATTAGATGAGGTGAAGACAGTTAATGGAATAGAAATCAGAGAACAGGAACACAGAGAAGCTGATGCACAGAGAGAAAAACAACAATTTCTAGAAAACTCTAGAAATGAAAGAATATTAAGAGAACTGTGTGACCAATCCAAACAGAACAATATTCGCATTATGGGGCTACCAGAAGAAGAAGAGAGAGGAAAAAAGGGATACAAAGTGTCTTTGAAGAAATAATTGCTGAAAAATTCCCCAATCTGGGGAAGGAAATAGTCTCTCAGCCATGGAAGTCCACAGACCCCCCCAACACAAGGGACCCAAGGAGGACAACACCAAGACATATACTAATTAAAATGGCAAAGATCAAAGACAAGGAGAGAGTATTAAAAGCAGCCAGAGAGAGAAAAAAAGATCACCTACAAAGGAAAATGCACAAGGCTATTACTACACTTCTCAGCAGAAATCTTACAGGCCAGAAGGGAGTGGCATGATATATTCAATGCAATGAAACAGAAAGGCCTTGAACCAAGAATACTCTACCCAGCAAGATTATCATTTACATTTCAAGGACAGATTAAACAATTTCCAGATGAGCAAAATATGACGGATTTTACCTCCCACAAACCATCTCTACAGTGTGTATTAAAGGGACTGCTCTAGAAGGAAGTGTGTCTAAGACTAAACAGCTGTCACCAGAGAAAATAAAATGACAGCAAAGGAAGTATGCCAGCTAAATACTAACAAAATTCAAAATTAAATCAGCTACCCACAAAGTCAGTCAAGGGATACAGAAAGAGTATAGAATATGACACCTAACATATAAAGAGTGGAGGAAGAAGAAACAGAAGGGAGAGAAAAAAAGAATCATCTGTTTATAATAGCGTAATAAGTTAGTTAAGGTAGACTGCTAGATAATAAAGAAGCTGCCTTTGAACTTTTGGTAACCACGAATCCAAAGCCTGCAATGCCAATAAGTACATATATATCAGTAATCACCCTAAATGTAAATGGACTGAATGCACCAATCAAAAGACTGAGTTATAGAATGGACAAAAAAGCAAGATCCATCTATATGCTGCCTACAAGAGACTCACTTCAAATCCAAAGACATACACAGACTAAAAGTGAAGGGATGGAAAAAAATATTTCATGCAAACAATAGGGAGAAAAAAAGCAGGTGTTGCAGTACTTGTAATCAGATAAAATAGACTTCAAAACAAAGAAAGTAACAAGAGACAAAGAAGGACATTACATAATGATAAAGGAATAGTCCAACAAGAGGACATAACCATTATAAATATCTATGCACCCAACACAGGAGCACCTACATATGTGACAAATACTAACAGAATTAAAGGAGGAAACAGAATGCAATGCATTCATTTTAGGAGACTTCAACACTCACTCCAAAGGGACAGATCAACCAGACAGAAATTAAGTAAGGAGACAGAGGCAATGAACAACACATTAGAATAGATGGACCGAACAGACATTTACAGAACTCTACACCCAAAAGCAGTAGGATACACATTCTTCTCAAGTGCACATGGAACATTTTCCAGAATAGACCATATACTAGGACACAAAAAGAGTCTAAGCAAATTCAAAAAGACTGAAATTGTACCAACCAACTTCTAAGATCACAAAAGTATGAAACTAGAAATAAACTGTACAAAGAAAACAAAAAGGCTTACAAACACATGGAGGCTTTACATGTTCCTAAATAATCAATGACCAATGACCAAATTAAAAGAGATCAAGAAATATATGGAGACAAATGAAAACAGCGCAATGCCCCAACTTCTGAGGGATGCAGTGAAGGCACGTCTAAGAGGAAAGTATATTGCAATCCAGGCATATTTAAAGAAGAAAGAACAATCCCAAATGAAAAGTCTAAATTCACAACTACTGAAACAGGAAAGAGGAGAACAAATGAGGCCCAAAGTTAGTAGAAGGAGGGACATAATAAAGATCAGAGTGAAAGTAAATAAAATTGAGAAGAATAAAACAATAGAAAAAATTAATGAAACCAAGAGCTGGTTCACTGAGAAAATTAACAAAATAGATAAACCCCTAGCCAGACTTATTAAGAGAAAAAGAGAATCTACACACATAAACAGCATCAGAAGTGAGAAAGGAAAAATCACAATGGACACCACAGAAATATAAAAAATTATTGAAGAATACTATGAAAAATTATATGCTAACAAACTGGTTAAGCTAGAAG